TGTGTGTGTGTGTGTGTGTGTGTGTGTGTGTGTGTGTGTGTGTATGTGTGTGTGTGTGTGTGTGCTTGCTACTTTTAGCTAAACATGCTGATGTTGACTGTTATTGCTTCAGCGTCTCTAGGTCCCAACAAGAAAACTAAGACCGCCCCCAAACACGTTGCTGTTTTTCGTTTCCAGCTGCGTGTTTTTTTGCTTTCTCCTTTTTCTTCAGATCAGTTAGCTGCATCGTTCAACATTGCCGTCTACGACGTCCTTAGTTCCTTCGCCTGGCGCGCAGCCCTTCTCCTAGCGTGCAGCCTGGCGGGCCCGATGGCCGATTGCTCCTGCTGGGGCCATCGGGCCTCTGGGCCTGGGGATATCTAGAGTTAGGTCGGGCGTGCCCTCCTACAGGCGGATTTTGGTTGACAGATAACGAAAAATAATAAAAATAATGCCCCAAATAGTCAAACATACTCCACAAATCTTCCCCTGACTATTTTTGGACCATTTTTGAATTGTCCTCCTGTAGAGGGACAGGCCCGACTTAAATCTAGAGCGACAGGCCTGCGGCGAGAGAGGACGAAGCGAGGCAGGGGGGTACAGCGTGCGCAGCTGCTGCCGCGCGCTCCGCCCCCGCGCGGGCCTCGAGCCGCCTGCCGGCCATGCGCCGCGGCGCGTGCCGCAGCATGGTGGGGTTGGCCTCCTCGCTCAGGTAGGCCTGCTCCGGCCTGCGGTGAGCTTCGCCGGAGGGGGGCTCCCCCGCGATCGGGACCCTCGGGCCGGGGGGTTCCAAGCCTGGCCTACAGTCGGGCCGTATCAGAAGGATGCGCGATGAGGATGAAAGGGCCTTGGACGCCCATGTCGAAGCTTCTCGAGCGGGGCGTCGCCGACGGAAGTGGCCGAGGCGACCGAGGAGGCAAGGATGCAAGGATATCCTGGGGAAGGCTGCCCATCCCGACCATGCGGGTTGACTGCACGGTGCTCCCCAGCTCTCCGCGCCACTGTGGAGCCCCCTGGGCCTCGACGGGGGTGCTCTGGAGGCCGTGTGGAGGCCTCCCTGGGAATCCTGGGGGCACCTTCCTGGGAACATCCGACGGACGGTTTTGTCCCCCTCCGCGGGCCCCAGGGGTCTCGACCCACCTCCCTGGGGCCAGTCTCCCGGCCCAGCTGTCCATTCTTGAGGGCCCCGGGGCCCGACCCCGGCCCCGAGGCCGAAGCGGAAAGAGCGCGCCATGACTGCACGCATCGATCCGCCCGAAGCCTGGACCTGGCGACACTCGACCCTGGCGCGCCCCCTGCGCGCTGCCGGGCCGTGCCCTGGGCCGCCGCCGAGCTGGCCCTGCCCGCCCCTTTGGGGCGGGCAGGGCCGGCTCCAGGGCGGCGCGGCCGCCTCGAATTGCCCTCGGCCCCACGTGGGTAGACGAGCGCGTTCCACCACTCGCCAAAGTAGCTACTCGCAAATGGACTGGATCCCCCGCGGCGAGTCAACGATGCATTACGTGTAGGAAGACGTGCTTTTATTCGGACGTCTGCGACTAGGCACTCTGCGAGTAGCGGAGCTCGCCCTGAGAGTGGGGGTGACCTTTGGGGTGGCCCGTTGGGTGCGCTGCCGTCTCGGGGGAGGCGCCGCCCCGCGGCGCTGGAGCGGCGCCCCCCGACGCCCCATCCCCAGCACCCGAGGGCCCCCGAAAGCGCCAGGGCACCCTCCTCCATCGCCGATGCCCTGGCAGAGTGCCTCCCCCCCAGGCCCCAGGCCTCCGGCGCCGTGTGCTCTCTCACGAGGCTGGCCCTCAGAAGGTCGGCGGCGAGCGGTGAGCATGCCTTCTTGGAGGGCCCGGAAGCCCCCTGGCCTTCCGAGGAGTTGCCTCGGCCTTCCCCGACGGCGCCGCAAGCTTGTCAGAGGGCGCGACGGCTTCTGCGAAGTCCCGCCGCCTTCGGAGAAGGCCCTCTCCTGCTCATCCCCCCCCGTCGCTCGCCGCCGAGCGCGGCACTCTCGGGCCGGGCGCGGGGCCTCCCCGCCGCCCTGCACGCCCGGCGGCGATGGCCCCCGGGGCGCTGTGCGTGCCGGGCAGAGGGCGTGGGGAGAGGCGGCCGGCGACGGCCCAAGAAGTCCGCGCGGACCCTCGAGAGCTCAGCACTTCTGTCTTTGTGGGGCTTGCGTCCTTCTGGGCTCCGCGTCGCGGGCTACCTCTCTCGGGTCCTCCAGGAACCCAGCTCGGGGCACAAGAGACGCCAGCCGCGTTCTTATGTCTTTAAAGGCGCCTGGATGTCCCAAAGTCCCCTGGCCAAGCGCCCCCCCGCGGTCAGCGCAACTGCCTGTGGTGGACCGTCTTGAACTTGGGCTTCTCACTCTCGAGCTGCTCCTGGCGCGCTTTTGTGATTGATATCGGTAGTTGCCCCTGGGGCATTGACAAGTGCCCACACGAAACCAGCGCAGCATCTGGACGACGACACTGCATCCGGCGAACCCAGAACCCCCCGTCGCGCCGCGCAAAGAAATGCGACAGAAGGTCTTCGGCTATTTTCGGCCTCTGGAGGCCCTCACCAGACTTCAGGACCGTCAAACAATGAGAGACTGGACCTAGGAAAAGGGGTCGAGGTCAGGTGTCCCCGCTGTGAGCCAGCATCGCAATGCTTGGGGCTGACAAACTCAACCCGCGGGCGAAGTACTCCAGTGGTTTGCCTTGGTTTGGAGCAAACTTTAAGCCCGCCAAGCCACCGCAGTCTCTAGAAGGTTCTCGGCGACGAACCGCAGCGGATCGAGACGATCCCAGGGCCTGAAAGCTTCCAGGAGTCACAAGCAAACAACTTCGAACTCTGCCGAGAACTTCGAGGTGGGCAAAGTCGGCGCCTCCTGGACCTTTCCTGGAGCGCATCCTGACCAGAATCTCGAGGCGAATCCAATCATGGCGACGATGGCCTTTCCTGGAAGCCTTCAGTAAGCCAAACCCATCCGCTATTTTCCTCCCACAGGATTCGCAACAGCACGTCGAACACCTCAGACGAATATCTTGCCAAGGGGCACAGGAATCTTCAAATGAAACGTGTCTTGGACCTCGGAACTTTTCCTGGGATCGGCTTCGCATTCTGGATCGGTTCTTGACGCACGGCAAAGGGCCTCTGCAGATAGAAAATGGTCAGAAGCTCGGGACCCCTTTCCGTCGGGAACCTTCGTTGGCAACTCATGGGAGCCTCCCATACTATCTTGTCGGCTCTTGCGAATCGACGCTAATCGACGTTAAATCGGCGCTATCTCGTCGACTCCCAGACGCTAGTCGACGTTAAAGACAAAATAAACAGGGTACACCTGGCTCCCATGATTTGCTACCGAAGGACCCTGTGTTTTCTTGGCGATCGTCTCGAATCCACTCAGAATCGGTCCTCGGACCTACCAGAGTCCGTCATACTCTGGCTTTCAAGCGGCGTCCAGCCGTGGCGACGAAAACCTTCCGAGACGGTCAGAAAACCTCCAGGAACGACGTCGACGACGACTCCTCCATGGTTATAATCCAGGTCCCCGATGTCGTTTCTCTTTTCCCCCCACAACGTGGACCCCAAGAGGTCTCGACCCCTTCCCCGGGGCTATCTCTTATCTCGAAGCGGATCTGGGGCCCGACAGTAGCCAGTGAGGTCAAAACCTTCCGTTTTTGGTTTTCAAACGCCATGGGGGGGACTGGTGAGGGTCTGCTCCTGGTACTGCTGCAGCATCGCCGCCGTGGGCGTTTGCAGCCCGTTGCTCCCGGGCGATGCCAAGGGGGGTCACCACTAGGGGTGACGCTACCTCCTCGAGGAGGATGACCCCTCAGGACACACAGGACCTCGTCCTCGTCCTCGTCCTCGTCCTCCTCCTCCTCCTCCTTCTCCTCCTCCTCCTTCCTCCTCTGCGCGCTCGCCCCCCACCCCACACCCGCGGCGCCGCGTGGCTCTCTCTCTCTCTCTCTCCCTCTCTCCCTCTCTCTCTCTATCTCTCTCTCTTCACGCGGATGAGGATGACCCCATCAGGACCCCCAAGGCCCCCAGAACCTTCCCCAGACGCCCCACAGCCTTATAAATCTCCTCGATCATCGGATCCTCGATCCTCGGGAGTAGATGGCGACCCTCGTACGGCAAGTGCACGTCGTGGCGACACGTGCGGCGGCTTCTGACACCGCGCGGTCCCCGAAGCTTACAACGATTGTGGACTTCCGATGGCGCAAATCGTTTGACATCAACCGCTTCTGGGCCACTGGCGGCGTTCAACCTTGAACACCCGCGCTGGGGTCGCCGTCGCGTCAACGCAACACGAACCGACCGTAGATCCTCGATCCTTCAGCCTCGACCTTCGATCCTAGATCCTCGAACTTCTTCAATCATCGATCCTTCAATCATGGATCCTACGATCATTTGACCCGTACAGCCGAAGCATGGCCACAATTACGTGGGTAATGGCATTAGTTCTCTTGCCGAAGGCTCAAGGCCCCCTGGAGGTGCCCCAAACGAAGAACATTCCAAGGTGGAGCGCCCCGAAGCAAAGAATGATACCCTTGCGGCAGGAAGCCCTCAACAGCTTTACGCGGTTGGGATGAGGGCCACGATGGAGGGTCACGATGGGGGGATCGGGACATGGATAGGGGTAGGGACATAAGGATAGGGACGACAATTGAAGGCCACGGAGAGGCCACAGAAGACAACGAGAGGTAATCGGAACCACCAGGAGACAGCGTCCCTCGACCGACTTCGGCTCTAGCAGCGCACCTGCTCGTTTCAGAGGCAACTAATACGTAACCAGTACATCTTAACTGCTCAGGACACTTGCGTCGGCGGCCAGGCAGAAAAAAGCTGCGCTGGCGGAGGAGCCAACTAAACGGGGGCACCGTGGTAGCGACTTGTGCCACAGGGCAAAACTGGTCAGGAAACGTGTGGGCAGCCGTCCAACACTTTGGACGCCCGAAATGGGTACTGAAAGAATGGGCACTATGCCCAACAACAAATGTTGTCCCAAGCCAACAGCGGCCGCTGTTGGGCAGGCGACCTTCTGTCTCGAATGGACACAGGCTGCGGCGGCGCGGACAGCGAATCCTGTTCAAAATGAACAGGAATTGTGGTTGGGCATTTTACCCATTCTTTCGGTACCCATTTCGGGCGTCCAGAAACACTATAGCCTGCCCCTGACCCTCGCACCGGCTGCAGGTGGTGAACACCCCTCGGGCACCGCCCGTTGCTCGGCATCATCCGCCGCTGCGCCCACTGCACGGCGGCGCCCGGCGGCGCGTGACGCGCTGTTGGCGTGCCGGGCGCCACGCTCGGTGTACCTCGAGGCCGCCGCCGCCTTCGCCGCCGCCGCCGCCGCCACCGTCGTCGTCGTCGTCGTCGTCGTCGTCGTCGTCGTCGTCGTCGTCGTCGTCGTCGTCGTCGTCGTCTGCCTCGCCCTACCTCCATCTCGTCCCCTTTCGGAGGGGAGAGGATGGAATCATTCCAATTCTTGTTGCCTTTCTGGTCCTCGTCACCGCGGCTAGACTCAGCTCTAGATCCTGGTCAGAGCACGTCCCGGGATTGGTCCAAGGGGTGGGCTTTGAGGGAGGAGAGACCCAGACGATTCGGGCGTCGCAGAAAGAACAAGGCAATGGGCGTCATTTTGCAATAGTGTTGGCCTACCCTTCTCAGGGTCCGCTATCGGGCCCCGCGACGAACAAATGGTCCTGGGGATGGGGCCGAGTGCTCTGGGGTTCACGTCGTGAACACATCACAGTGTCGGAGGCCTGCAGCTTGAAATTCGCAGCAGCTGCACGAATGTGGTGGGTGGGTGGTTCTCAAAATGGGGCTCTCGCCTTCGCTCGGCGCACATGACAGTTTAGCTACTGTGGCAGCTGCCATGATGGATGGCGGTTCCCTTTCAAAATGGCACTTTCGCCGTAGCTCCGCGCAAACTTGCCTCAACAGCTTGCAACAATTACAAGAACGGGGCACGGCTCCTTCAAGATGGAGGCCCTCCATCCTGGTAAATGTCGCCAGTCTCCAAGGTGAATACGCGCAGCGACTTCCCGAACTTCAGAGTCGAGAAACTTGAGCATCTGCAACATCTGCCCGGATAGAGGGCGGTGCCTTTGCAGCATCGGGCTCTTGCTTGAGAGTTCCCTGGAATTCACGGCCAGAAATGTACACTTGTGCCACAGTGACACGGGCGGGGGGGCGGACTTTGTTCACAATGGGATACTCTGGATGCTTTGCTAGGAAGGCGTAAGGCGGTTCCTTCTCAAACCGGGACTCTCGCCCGAGCAGCAGGCCCGCAGGTATTGGTCTTTCAAAAGGGCACTACTTGCAGTGACACGGAATGCTTGTAGGAACTCTTGAGAGGGGAGCTTGAAAGGAGAGCGTGTGCTGCAGCACCGTGGATGCATGCAGGGCTTACTCTGGTCCTCCTCCGCCTCCATTTCCCTCCTCGGCGTCCTTTCTCCTCCTCGTGCTCCCCCTTCCCTCAGCGTCGTCGGCGTCGTCGTCGTAATCCTCCTCCTCCACCTCCTCCTCCTCGTCACCCATCGTCGTCGTCTTCCTCTTCCAATCGTCGTCATCATCATCGTCGTCTTCCGTCGTCGTCGTCGTCGTCCCCCTCCTCCTCCTCCTCCTCCTCCTCCTCCTTTCATTCTCCTCCTCTCCTCCTCCTCCTCCTCTCTCCTCCTCCTCCTCCTCCCTCCCCCTCCCCCCCCTCCCCCCCCCCATCCCCCTCCCTCTCCCTTCCTCCCCCTCCTCCTTCCCCTCCTCCGACCTCGCCGCCGCCGCTCTGCGGCAGAGGGGCGCCCTGCGGGGCGCACGCCCCGCAGGGGGGGGGGGATGGATGAACGGCCACGACGGCGGACGGCGGCGGCCGCTGCGACGGCGCTGACCGCCGCGGCGGCGGCGTCGACGGCGACGCTGGCGGCGACGCCGCGACTCCCCCAAATGGCGCCTGGGACGGCGCCCCCAGGCGTGCTCGGCACCATGCCCATGCCCGCGGGCGTGCGCGACGCGCCCGGCGTGCCCGGCGAGTTGCCCGAGGGTGTCGAGGGCGCCACGCCGGCGAGCGCGGGGGTGGGCCTGGCTCCGGGCAGGCGCGCCTGCACCTTGCCGATGCCGACGGCGAGGGCGACGAGGACAGGGAAGACTTCGACGACGAGGGCGAGGACGACATCGCCGAGGACGGCGGCGACGGCGACGACGACGGCAAAGACGACGACGGTGCGACGCCGACGACGACGACGACGTCGTCGCCGGCGGCGACGGCGACGACCTAGACGACGAGGACGGTTCCTGTCGTTTTCGGCCCCGTTTGGGCCTCTGGGGTGGCCCCCGCCGCCGCGGCCGGATCCGCCTCGAAGTCCCGGCCAGAACGCGCTCCAGTAGAGACCCACGGATCCGTCGTCCTCCTCCTCCTCCTCCTCCTCCTCCTCCTCCTCCTCCTCCTCCTCCTCCTCCTCCTCCGCTTGATGATCCTGCACCTCCTCCCGCTCCTTCTCCTCCCCATCCTCCTCCCCCAGGGGAGGGGAATGTCGACGAGGGAGAAGGGAGGCGGGGTGGTGACGGACGAAAAGAGATGACGACGACTTGAAGACGAGGGATGGGGGAGGCGCGGGGGGTGGAAGAGGAGGAGGGGCAGGAGGAGGGGGAGCAAGAGAGGGGGCAGGAAGAGGGGGAGGAGTCTAGTCTGGATGAAGGGAAGGGAGAGAAAGAGGTTAGAGATAGGGAGAGAGACGGAGAGAGAGAGAGAGAGAGAGATAGAGAGAGAAAGAGAACGAAAGAGAGAGAGAGAGAGAGAGAGAAAAAACAACGCACCCACTCGGACAAGAGTCTGTCCTGGCCCGCCGTGTACAAGCGCCGGCTGAGCCATCATCACTGTGGCGGGAGGCGACGCACGTAAGTGGCAAGGGTGGCGAAAACCTCCCCCCTGGCGCGGCCGAAGAGAGAACCTCGACTGGAAGAAACTGGCGGGCTGTGGTGCTCAGGGTGTGGTGCGCCGCGTCTGCGCCCCCGAAACTGAAAGGAGACCCCTGGCTTTTAGCACGCTTTGGCTTGCGCGCCTAGGAACCCAGTGAAATGAAGACGCCGCCTTTGGGCACCCACCTCAGCGGCCCAGCGCGAGGACAACGGAGCCTGTTTCCAGGAGCTCTCGTGTGGCACGCCGGGTGAAAGGAAGGGGGTGGTCAGCACTGGTGCACCAGCGGTGAGCAGCAAGTCGCGCCTCGGGGCGCTTCCGGAGGGTGGCCCCGGGGAGGGCAGGCGTGCGGAAGGCCTGTTGGAAGTCATTCAATGCGGACGGTGCTTCTCGGAGCCCGTCGAAGACGGGTTCGGACTGCTCCCGGATGGTGCCCAGCGTAAGCGCGAGGCTGGAAGCCTGTTGCCGAAGCGATGTAATGCTAGCAGTGAGCGCGGCTTCACGGCCCTGCGGTGGCTGTGGCCTGGCCGAAGCGAGGTGCTGCGTGCGGCCGCTCCTCTGGTCGGTGCGCTGCACTGGGGTCGGACGGGCACCTCCACCCTGGTGGGTGTTTCAAGGGCCATTGGTCCCCGTTCCCTGGGGGGGCTGGGTGTATGCCTGGTTGCAGGAAGCGCTGCTGGGCTGGGGGTGCCGCAGCACTGGCCAGGCGAGCGGGTTGGGGCGACGGCGCTGGCCTACCTGGCGCAGTCGGCGACCCCTCGCCTACCAAGCGCAGACCCTCTCCCAAGTGGATGACGTTGCTGTCGCAAGTGCGGCCTGCGGTGTTGCTGTCTGCGTCGGGGGGAACGGTAGGGTCCATACTGCCTCCCGTGTGGTCGGTGTCAGTGTTGTGCTGCGCAGGTCGCGGTGGATTACCTGCGGTGGGGTCCTGGTGGACCTCCACCTCGTGGGACTTTGCCGCTGTGTGCCTGCATGGGCGTGGGGGAGGACTGTCGTCGTCCGCGTCGTAGTTATCGCTGTCGTGGCAGCCTGGTGCGTGCGGGGGATCGTCATCGTCGTTGCCGAGGGCCCCCACCGAGGCTCGGTGGGCCCTCCTTGTCTCTCCTTCGAGGCTATCAGGAGAAATGCCCCACGCACCGTCGAGTTCATCGTGCTACCCTGGCCTCGGTGAGCCTTGGGATTGGGGTGGGTCGCCGGGCGGGCCTGGTGGCCCGTCCCCGCCGCCCCCCCGTGGTGAGCGGACTGGATCTCTTCCGATGGAGCTCTGACCTGGAATGTCCCGCTCGTCCATCGGGCACGGGGAGTGTGGTGGCGGCGATCGTAGATCGCGACCGCAGTGCTGTGCATGGCAGCCGCGAATTTATGTCTCCACCTGGCCGCGTCGATGACGTCCTGTGGTATGGCGTGCATGCAGGCTGCAACTGTAGCCAGCTTTTCGGGGTGACGGTTGAAGATTTCGTCGATTGGTGAGCTGCGTCCTTCGTCGATCACTTGCTCTCCGAGGTGGCCTTCGACGTTATGGACCCTGAACACGTCGGGTTTGTCGTGGAGCACCCGATGGACCTACCTGAGACCAGGTACTGCTATGCCGCCTCAACTAGAAAGAGATCAACCACCTCGATTGATGATCGGCACCAACGAGACTACCGCTTGGACCAGGACAGCCAATGGAGCTGACACTCGGATCGGGTGCAATCTACCAACGTGGCCAGCCGAACTCGGTTAACTACGCCACACGGGACCAGTTCTTGTCTACAGGGACGTAGCGACGGACACAGTGGACGAGCGCGGCAACGCCATCACCAACTGGACGATCGCCGACACGGACAACGTGGAAATGGCGCTGATACCGCCGCCAGCCCCTACGCCCATCCCGAGGCCAACCAAGGACACCACTCCATAGAAACCGCCAGCAATGATCGGCATCCACTGCAACCTGTTCGCCATCAAGATGACCGACTACGACAACATATCCGAGGAATACAAGGCAGCCGTCGACAATCAGCTGGAAGAGTTGCGACAGCCACACGAGTTGAAGTAGGACCTCGAGTACGACGAGAAGATCAACCTAGCAGGCCTCTCCCAGATCCCAAGGTTGCAGAGCTTGTGTCCCACCGGGCAATCCATTGACCCAGCTGCCAGAAAACCACCCACCCTCACATCACCTGAGGAGAGAAGAGCCTAAGCCTTCCCCAACTGCAGCCGATTGCGACGACTGCCATGGTACTGGTAGCCAAGCCAGCACAATCGACAATCCCACAATGGACGGCGCACTCGACGGTTGAGCAGAGTTAGCCCGACACGCGACCAAGATGCAACCCATAACCAATCACGAAGAACCGCAGTAGACCCCCTGATCTACGAGCCGAAGGCGTGCAACTCCGACACTCCCGACAACAATGCGGGTCTGCCAGCACTGCAGTCAAACAACATGCAGCTGCGATACCCATGGCGAGCGTACCCAAAGGACGGCGTGGATGCGGCATACTACCACAATCCGCAGAACACCCTGGGTAAGGCACCTCATGGTACATGGTAGGCAACCCTAGACGAGGGGAAATGCAACAAGTGCATCCCCACCGACATCTTCACACGCGACATCATAGAATGGGACGACGTCTGCGACCAGACAAGCCGCAGCAAACACAAGCACACAACACGAGCGCATTCCCTCGCAAGGGACCACAGAGGCAGGTTGCACCCGCAGCCCCACAGCAGGTCACTGCGCCAACGACGGACACCGCCGACGACACGCTCGCGCCGACCGACCAGACAAAGCCAGCACGCTACACGGCTCCCCAGATCACTGTTCTCAAGAGGAGCCCCACGCCGACAGCGCAGGGAAGCCGAACACCGCCAGGGAGCACGGACATCTACGCTACTCACACAGCTATGCCGCCCTCGCGGGGCGCAGGATTCCCAGGCCTCCACCAGTTTTGCTCCACGACGGCACATCCACTACTCAGCTGGCCTTTCCATTTTCCACAGCTCTCGTTCCCATGCCACACCTCTGCCACCACGGCAGCATCAGCACCAGCTAACGCGACGCGGCAACATCTACTCACCAGCATCGCCATCCCGAGTGAGACGAGCAAAGTCCTCACACCACCCACCTTGCGCCTACTTCTACCCACGCCATGCCTGTACTCCGTGAGCCTTGTCGTCACCGCATTCACACTGCGCCTACATGCGCCTCTGGTGCTTTCCGAACTCGAGGCACCTTTGTTACTCCAGTGACCTTGTTTACTACTTCCACCTTGGCCACAACCTCCTCTGAAGAACCTCAAGCCCCAAATAACCTACACCTCCCTCTCCTCTTCTTGCCCCGCAGCCCCGTCTACCCCCGCCTTTCGTCCACCAACCTCCTCCATCTCGCCCCACCGCTGCCGCTGGGAACGGGGAACGGGACGGGAGCACAGAGCGCAGGAGTTGGGGAAGAGACGGGGCTGAAGGCGGCACGGACCCCCCTGCAGAGAGGCACGGGGGCTGTGGACCACCTGGCCCTGAGGCACAAGAGCCAAGCCGAGGGAGCCGCCACTCCCCCTTCTCTGGGAGTGACGGCTCCGCTCGGGCCACGCCCACCTCCTCACCCCGTCGCTGATTCCGACTTCGTGCACTTTCCCTCCTCCTCCTCCTCCGCCGCACGCCTAGCCGCCATCTTGTTCTGACCACAGCGCCCCTTCGCCTCACCCGCCCCCTCCCCCCCCCACACCGCCTACTCCGCTGCGACAGCCCGCGCCGCACTAGGAGCACCGTACCCTCGGACGTCTGGCAGGATTAGCAGGAGGCGGCATCCTACTCGAGGAGAGGCGCGCCGTTGGCCTCAGCTTGGGGGCCGGGGCCCACGCTCGGGCCACCTTCGCACCCGCACTGCGCCGACGCATGCAGGCGCCACCAGCCTCCCCCACCTCCCTACTTCGCTCCTTGACTCGTCAACATCGTCCGTCTTTCCTGCGTCTCTCTCTCTCTCTCTCTCTTCACCTCTTGGCTTTGTTCCGCCCCTCCCCCCAACGCTGCTGAGAGGGAGGGGCTTCGAGGGCTTCGACCATATCGGTAACACAGTCCGTAACCTCGAGCATCGAGGAGGAGGCGGAGGAGGAGGAGGAGGAGGAGGATGAGGAAGAGGAGGAGGAGGACGACGACGACAACCACATGGGTTTCCTCCGAGAAGCTCCCTCCCTCCTTGAGGACCGCCCCCCCCCCGCGTCCCTCCCCCTCGAGGGGTTGCCAAGGGTGTTCCTGGTCCAAGGTGTCCCAAGTCTTGCGCGCCCTACTCTGGAGCCCTCTGGGCCGTGTGAGGCGTGCTCCGGAGGCCCCCTGGGCCTCTCGGGACAAGCTGGGGGCCACCAGCGGGCGGGGCCGCCTCTGGCAACATCGGCCCCGCTTCCTCACCAGGCCACCCAGGGAGAAGGGAGGAGGGAGGAGGGACTTCGCCCCTCCCCCCGGTCAGGAATCCGCTCGAGACAGCTCCCCAAACCTCTCCCGGGGTCCGTCCTGGCCAGTTTCCCAGGAGCCGTGGCCCCGCAGGGCCTCCGAGGAGGCCGCAAAAGAGGGAGAACTAACATTTCAAACTCCACCCGCGAGCCTCCGACGCAGCGATGGTCTCACAACGTGGACCCCCTCCTCCTCTTCCTCCTCCTCCTCCTCCTCCTCCTCAAGAACCGTTTGGCTCCGTCGCCCCTGGAATGGGGCCGCGGGGTCGCGCCGAGCCTCCGCGAGGTGTTCTTGGGGCCGCGCGCCATAAGTTGTCGGGCGGCAGCTGATGGCGGCGCGGTGCCGATTCGGCGCAAACTGTTTGGAAGTCGAGTTTCGGAGGCATTTGGAGGCCTCCCGAGATCCTTCGTGATGGGGCGCAGCGCCTCGCGTCGGCCGCGGTCCGTCGGACGCAAGAGGGTCTCGTTCGAACGGCACTGGTCTCGATGTTCGTTGAAGTGGACGAACTCTTGGAGGCCCAAAACTGGCGTTGCCCCTGCGGCTCCAAGGTGACGCAGTTCCGCGCGCCTTCCCAGCCTCGACCGCGTGGTGGTGCTGGCGGGAGCGGACGCAGCGGGCCCGGATGAGCTCCTGGCGCTGGCGGGGCCGCGGCCGACCAGCTGCAGCGCCCAGGCGCCCCTGCGCGCGACAGCTCGGTACCCCGAGCTGGCCGCGGCGCTGAGGGTCGTCGAGGCCTACGCCCAGGCTGCAGCGGCCAGGGCGAAGGCGAAAGAGCCTACGTTGGACGACGCGCTCCGCAAGGCCGCTGGCGAGTGCAAGGACCTTCGCAGGCGGCACCAGCCCGCGGTGGATCAGGTCCTGCGCTGCCGCTCAGGCCTGTGCACGGTTCAGGCACGTGAGCGGGAGCTCGCCCTGCTGCTGGCCGAGGCCGAGACCGTCAAGCAGAAGGCAACTGCGGCGGTGGCGGCGCTGGGCGGCAGCGGCGGCGGTGGCGGCGCTGGGCGCCCCCGCGGCCGCTGCTGGGGCGACGGCCACCGAGGAGTCGGCCGAGCTCTTCCAGCTGCGCTGGGGCGACTCCATCTTCTCTGCCGACGTGCTGGAGGAGCTCGACGAGCAGGAGCGCGGCAGCTTGGCCAGCCTCCGCAAGGAGCTTCTTGCGGCGCAGGATCTCCAGTCCCGCTCGGGGGAGGTTCGCGAGAAGCTGGCCGCCGCGCAGCGCCTCGCCGCCACCAGCCGCCAGCGTTTGGCCGAGGAGCGCAAGGGCGGCAACGGCGACGCTCAGGACCCCGCGCAGTCGGCAGCAGCACCAGCCGCAGCAGCAGCAGCAGCAGCAGCCCCTGACGACGGTGTCGCCGCGAAGAATGCTGGAGGTGCTCCGGGGCCCCCTGCCGAGAAGACAGGAGACCCCGCGCCGGCCGCGGCGGCCGCCAAGTTGAGCCAGGCCAAGCTCAAGGCTGCCGAGCAAGCGAAGGTGGCCTCGGCAGCTCGCGGTGCGTCAGGCTCGGCTGGCCCGGGTGCAGCGTCGGAGGCCGCCCATGCGGTGTCGCCCGACGCCGCCCATGCGGTGTCGCCCGACGCCGAGGGCAGCAGCCCGTGACGCCAGGCGCCATCAGCGACTTCAGGGGTAGCCGCTGGCGCGCAGCCGCACATGTTTGGCATTTCTGAGAGTCATGATGTTTTCCCTGGTGCTGAGGGGTTAGCTCCCGCAGCAGTCGCAGCCGACTTCCCTCGCGGAGCGTCAGCACCAGGACGAGGGCACATCATCGACTGGGCGCATGTGGACCGTGGCGCCCCCCCCCGCCACAGCCGCACTCTCTTTTTCGCGAACATCACTGCGATGGGGCCGCAGGCCTGGGAGTTCGTGGAGAGGGAGTGCGCCGACTACGATTGCCTGGGCTTCGCGGAGACACACGTTCGCTCCTCGGCCAAATCGGAGGAGTGGACTCGCAAGGCGAAGCGTGCTCGATGGCGGGTTCGCGCCAACCCCGCCCGTGCCTCGAGCGGAGGGGGCGCTGAGGGTGGTGAGTGGCTGCTCGCCCGTCAGCATCTCCACGTGCACCGCTTGGAGGCCGCCACGCCAGCGCCCAGGCAGCGGTGCGCCCCAGCCTCCTCCGACCTGGACAGCTTCCAGGCCAGCGTGCTGCGCGTGCAGGGGTGCGCCGTGGTGCCCGTCATCTTCTTTGCCTTCTCGTCCCTTGGCTGGGCGGGAGATGACCTACGCTGGCGTGCTCGCCTCGGCGCGCTGCTCGCGGCCCTGCAGCTGCCCTGGCTGGTGCTCGGCGATATCAACGTGGGGCCGTCGGCGTTGCAGCGCCGTGGCTTCGTGGGGCGGGTCGGCGGGCACGTGCTACAGCGCAATGTGACCTTCGCATGCGCCGCGGGCGCCGCGGGATCGCACATCGACTACGGCTTGTGCTCGACCTCCTGCCTACGGTACGTCGCGGGGTTTCGAGACGTGCAGGCCGTCCCCTGGAAGACCCACTGCGGCCTCGCGGTGGGGCTCCTCGGCAGCGGCCAGCAGCTGATGACGCGCCGCCCGGTGGTGTCCAGACCACTGCCCGCGGGCGCCCGACCCCGCCCACCGCCGACAATCTCCACCAAGCGGTGTGAGGCGCGCTCCCGCAGAGACGCCACCCGTCTCAAGCGAGGCGATTTCTTGAAGGAGGCCTTCGGCAGCCAGTCGGAGGCACTCAAAGCTGACATGCCCACCGATGATGCGGACGGCGAAGGGTTCTCCTCCACCGACGGCGACGACTCGTGGGCTGATGAAGTTGAAAACTTGCTGCTGCCGGCGCCACATGTTGATGCGCCCCCCCCACCAGGGAGAGAGGCGCACCCTCTGGCAGGCCGCCCCAGGCCATCACCCACAGTCTCAGCACGTTCGCCGAGTCGCCGCTGCTGACAGCCGCTCACGACGCCACGTCCGTTGCTGGCGAAGGCGAAGGTGGTCGACCCCAGGCCCATGCCACTCCCGAGCGTCATTCCATGGGCGAAGATTACGCCAACCCTTTCGAGTGCCTGGGCGAGGACGACGGCCCGGGCGTCCCTCCGCACGTGGGCGTCGAGGAGCACCCCGAGGTCGAGCAAGTCTTAGAGGGGGCTTCGGACCGCGGGCCAGTGGGCGGCGGCCGAGTGGCAGCTGAGGAGGTTGGCGGAAATAAATCACAAAATCCCCCTGAATCTGGGGCGCGGCAATCACAATCCCTCGCGCCCCACCCCGTCGCCTCCATCTCGCCCGCTTGCGACGACAGCCCGGATCACGGATGGGGACGTTCCCTACTGGGTCTCGGAACATACTTGGGAGCGAGCGGCTAACGCCAGAGCCCTAGCTTCTACTCCGTAGGGAGCGATCGGCGAGTCGGCCGCCTACTGCGTCGGTGCCAAGGTCATAGGGCCTCTCAGCGGCGCCTGCGCCAGATGGGTTCGTCAGGTCGCAGCGGCCGCGCGTCGTCGTACACGAGAACCTCTGCGCGGCCGAAGCCTTTCCCGAGGCGGCGGTGTTCACCTGGTCGAGCTCCAGGTGTCTGCGGTCCAGCGCGCCATCCACGTGGAGGTCACCGACATCGACTACGCTGTGGGCTGGAGGGCGGAACTGCACACTGTCCTCGGGAAGTTCGTGCACTACTCCAAGGGGGTCGTCGGCAGCACCCCTGTTGCGCGCGCTGCGGCCGCCGAGAGCCGTCGCGCTGCTGCCGAGTGTCGCCGTCTGGTCCAGGATGCTCCTGTTCATGCCCGACGCGCTCTCGCCGCTGGCCGAGGCGGGGTTTGACGTGCTCGTGGGGCAGCTGCTGAGGAGCCGCCCATCACGTGGGCCAACCTCCGTCGGGACCTTCGCGCTCTGCCACGCTTGCCCATCCAAGCCGTGGAGCGTGTGCTGGAGGTCGTGCAGAGCAGCCTGCGCCGTGGGCGGGGTCGTGCTGTCGGCGCCTCCGTGCGCAGCTTCAAGGATTGGATCGTCACGCCGCAGGGCCCGTCGGTGCTCTTCAAGTCCTTGAAGAGGCAGCCTGGCCTGGCCGACGAGATGTTCGACCCACAAGGATGTCCGTCCCTCGTCCACCCCCGCGACCTGGTGGATCACAAGGCCAGAGTCTGGCACGAGCTGCGGGCACCCTACCAGGAGGACAGGCACGCAGTCGGCACCATCTGGAACGAGCTGCGTGAGCTGCTGGGCCTCGAGGACATTCCCGCGCTGGATCTTCCCCTGTTCAAAGCCGCCTTGAAACGCATGCGCCCTCGCGCAGGCAGAGGTGTCGACCAACTACGTCCTACTGACGTCGAGCGACTACCCGATTGCGCCCTCAACGAGCATATCGACCTGTAGACAGAGTGCGAGCAGGTGGGCTGCTGGCCATGGCAGCTGCTCTTGGTGTCGGGGCAGCTGTTGGTCAAGAAAGCTGGGAGCGAGCGCGTGATCGGCACCCTCTGCATGATCGCCCACATCTGGAGCCAAGCTCGCGAGCCCGTTATCCAGGACTGTAGTCATGACACAGCGCCGCCCTGGGGCGCCGCGGTCCGTGGGAACGCCGCCGTCTTCGAGGCTTTTGTCCGTGCTGCTGACTAGGAGGCTTATGGCGCGATGGGCCTGGCGTATGCGCGCGCGCCATGCTCGACATCAAGGCCTTCTACGACTCCATGGACTGGGTCAAGTTCGGACGTGCCGCCCTGCGGCTGGGCTCCCCCCCCACCGTGCTCGCCCTCGAGCTTCAGCTGTGCCTTGCCCCGCGGGTCTTGATCCGCGATGGAGCAGCATCGCTGGCGTTCCAACTTGCCAGGTCCATCGTGCAAGGGCTGCGCTCAGGGACGCGATTTGCGCGGTGCCTCACTTACGTCATCGGAGGAAGGAGGGGTGAGTCCGACGTGAAACGGACCCCCCCCCTACCGGGGAATCGATTTCGGTTTCGGGTTCGTGTCGTGCGTGCCGTGCGCGCGCGCGGGCGAGGCGAAGCTGCGTGGGCGGGCGAGAGAAAATCCTCCTGTGGCTGGGCCGCGGACGGACCAAATGTTCCTCCTCCGGCGGCCAATGGCCCGCGGTGTCCCGCCGGTGTCCCGCTGGCGCCCCGAAATCCTCCTGTGGCTGGGCCGCGGCCGGACCAGATGATTCTCCTCTGGCGGCCGGTGGCCCGCGGTGTCCCGCCGGCGTCCCGCTGGTGTCCCGAACTCCTCCTGTGGCTGGGCCGCGGCCGGACCAAATGATTCTCTTCTGGCGGCCAGTGGCGCGCGATGTCCCGCCGGTGGCTGGGCCGCGGCCGGAGCAAATCATGCTCCTCCCGTCAAACGGTGGCCCGCGGGGTCCCGCTGGTGTCCCGCCGGTGCCCCGCCGTGGGTTGCGCATTTCAGAACGTCGCCGCTTGCGGCGAGCTATCCAATGCAAGTCTGCATGCAGACCGACATGCAGACCGAAAAGCACACCGAAATTCAAATCAATTCGGACATCCAAATGCAAATCGTCAGACGCCGTGGGCGCCGCGGTAAGCTTTCCAATGCGCGTCGACTTGCAAATCGAAAAGCAATTCGAAATTCACATCAATATGCAAATCCAAATGCAAATCGAAAAGCACATCGTCATGCCGTGCTGTATGCTGTGCCGCCGTTGTTGCTGTCGGACCGCTGCCGGCTGCCCAAGCAAAACCAGCATGCCAATCGCGCTGCTGCCTTGGAGCCCGTCCGAACCGTCGGCCGGTGCCGCCCCCGTGGCCGGTGCCGCCCGCATGCTCGAACGTGCCCTGGCCGCGCCGCCGCTGTCCCAGGGCCCCACAGGCATCGTCAGAACAACAATCGCCACTTTTGCCCATTGCTGCCCCTCCCCCACCAACCTCCTTATCACCCGCAGGGTGGTTGTATTGGTATTGGATAAGATCATGCAGTCGGCGCGGAGACAGGCGTGGACAGCGCGTTAGTTGCCGCGGTGGCCGAGATCTGCGACGCGTTCGTCTCCGACGGCCTCCGCATCTCGCCGAAGAGCGTGGTCATCGCCAACCGCCGTGGGCTGGCCAAGCGCATCATGGACGCGCTGCGCGCCAAAGGTCACGCCATCACAGCCACCAATTGCTTGTTATGTCTCGGAGTCGACCTCGCCGCGGGCAGGGGCGCGCGGCGACCTTCTCGGACTCTCAGGACGAAGAAGGCCGTTCAGTCGCATCTTCGTGTTCGAGGTTTCGCGAGGGCCAGCAAGCAGTATCGCACCTGCTCGCGGATCGTGATGGCCTCCCAAGAAGCCGCCAGCTACGGGCACCAGTTCGGGGCACCCCAGCCTCATGCCGACGCAAGGCCCGCCAGCGCCTTGGCGCCGTCAGCGCTGCAGCTGGCAAGGGGAAGTGCCTCGCCACCGTCCTGCAGCTCCTGCGTGGAGCTGCGCGGCGCCTCCCGCGACAGCAGCTCGAGCTCTGGTTTCAAGCATGGCGTCGCGATGCTGACTTCAGGCGGCGAGTTCAGCAAGCGTGGATCCCGATCCATTGTCGGCTGCGGGGCGCTCTACCTGCTTAGCGCCATCGTCGCATTCGGGGCCCGATCTCAGCGCTGTTAGCCTTGCTGATGGAATGCGACCGGGGCCCCGTGGGCCCGCGCGGGTGGGTTCGTCACCTCCCTGCAGGCGGTTGGCACCGTTGGGCACTTCCCGACGTGGAGGCGCTCGTCGACGGATCCACTCAACAGTTGCTCGACGCATCCGACGCCTCGGTGTAGGAGCAGCTATGGAACGACGCAGCCCTTCACTGGTGCGGGGAAGGCCTGCAGCATGGGGCCGACATGACCTCCCATCGCGCCATGGTGAAGATGCGAGGGATCCCAGCAGCACCAGCACCTCGCGCCCCTCATGGTGTCCATTGCAGCTGGCGGCTTATGGCCTGGTGAGCGGGTCGCCGACACCTTCGGCACGCAGGACTGCAAATGCCCCAGGCGCGGGCACGACGTGGAGACGCCGCTGCACAGGATGTGGACATGCGAGGACAACCAGGGGTCCGAGGCCTACGACCTCAACGCCCGCCTCGTTGCCAGAGCTCATGCTGAAGCTGACGTTTGCCCCTGCGTCTGGCTTCGAGGTGTCCTACCTGCGGGGTGGACCCGCGTCCCGGCTCATCTCGACGAGCCCTGCTGGACCCGCGCCGGCGACGCGCTAGGTCACCGGGGCTTCGGTATCGGCACCTCGCACGACCCCCTCGCGCTGTTCGGCGACGCGAGCGGCGGGCCCGACTCGATGCACCCTCAGCTTCGACGTTTGGGCGTCGTTGTGTGCAGTGTTCGTTGTGAGGGCACCGAAGTCGACAGCGCCATCGTCGGCCCTCTCGCAGGCGCGCGGCAGACGGTTCATCGTGGCGAGCTTCAGGCCTTGATGCTAGCTAGCAGCCCGCCACTCGCGCGGCCCCACGGTTTTCTTCACCGACAACTTGGCGGTCTGCGAGGGAGTGGTGGCAGCGGTGCGACGAGCGTCCTGCGGCCGCAGGGCAGGAAGCCAACCTGTGGCTTGCTGTGCGCAGCGTGTTTCAGCACCGCCCTAGGAGCGATTTCACCGTCGAGCACGTGAGCTCGCACCTCACGCCCCAGGAGGCGCAAGCGCGAGGACTGTCCCAGGAAGTGCTGCGCGGCAGCGCCATCGCCGACGCCGCGGCTGGTCGCGCTGCAGATCGAGGGCGACTTGGCGGCGGTGCTCGGCAGCAGTTGCTGACCACGGAGGTGCCCGCGGCCCAGGTTCGATGGCGACTACTGAGGGCCACCATCGACGCCGCGTTTGCCGCCGAAGCCCGCAGTCGACCCCGTCGCCGCCCTGGTCGACGCGTGGCCCCGCCCTCCAGAGGCATGACCATCGCCTTCAGCTGCACGCACGCGCTGCGCGACGACGGGATCCATTGTCGGAGTTGCCGCACGTCAGCAGGACGCGCCCGTCGAGCAGCGTGGCTTGCCAGCGCATGCAAAGGGCTCCTGGCGTGTGGTGACAATTGGGCCCGCCCTGCCTCAACCGACACCCCGTTTCACATCGGTGACCAGCAGGTGCACGAGTCGCATGCGATGCAGCTGTAGGTCTCGCTGGACGTGTGGGCTTGTCTCGCATGTGGCTGCTAAGCATGGCCAGGGTTGCGCGCGCTCGGGCGAGGCCTGCTCGCCAATTGCCAAGGGACCGCGCCTGCTGGCCGAAAACATCTCGAGCGACTGCGGCGAGAACCTTGGCCGAAGGCAGGCGTCGTCCTGAGATCTGACGACGGCGACGACTACCCCGCCGAGCGCGACGTCGACGACGGCGGCGCCCTGGACGTCATCCAGCTGCCGCGCAGGCGAGGGGCCAGGAGGGGCCCCCTGATGCTCGCGCGGCTGCGGTCGGCCGCTGACGGGCAGTGCACCCAAGCGGCAGTCGAGACGGCGGACGCGCTCATGATGCCGAGCGGGGCCATGGCGTCAGATCGCAAAGTCCTGGTGTGCCAGCGCGGCTACCAGGCTCCGTCGCCACAAGCGTCAGTTCGCAAAGCCCAGGTGTGCCATTGCGGCTGCCAGGCCCGCCGTCGCCACGCGCGCCCAAGCTCGGCGTCGATCTGGGCGTGGAATACGTGGAGGTCGTGGTGCCCGTGGGCCCGCTTAGCCTCGCGAGCCCTTGCCGGGGGGCTGCCGCTGGCGCGGGGCGTGGAGGGCGCGCCGCGACTGGATGGGGTCGCGTGGCGGGTTCCGACCACCGCGGGGGGCGGCGCGATGGCCAGGGAGGGCAGGGGGGGCAGCTCTGGGAGCACCCCGCGCCCCCCCCCCCCAAGGAAGGCGCAGCCACGCGATCGCTCCATGGGCGACATCCAGACGGACGACGACGACGACGACGACGAGGGGCGCACACACACCGCGGCATGGCCCACGGCTCGGGCTCGGATCAGCTCGAAGTCCCAGTTGATGGAGGCATGCGTAGGCGCATCCGTGGCGCGAGGCCGCCCATCGCGCGGGCGCGCAGCTCGTGCGGCAGACCGCGCGCGGGAGGATCTGCAGCGGAAGTGCGTGCCCCACCTGCTGCTGAGCGTGATGGTGGTGCCGATCTCGCTGGGGGAGGTGATGAGCATGGTGTAGTCGTCAGTCATGTCGGGGACTGCCATCGCAACGCCCACGTCTCGGAACCGAGTCTAGAAGGTCCCGCTGTCAGAGCTCGAGATCAGCCCAAATCGGTGCGCGGCGTTGCAGGCAGTGACGTGGAGCTGGACACAGCGTCCAGCGCCGAGCGGATGGACTTCGACCTGCTGGCCCTCGCCCTGGAGCACTCCTCAGACACCATCGCGGACGGCGACTACATCGTGCTGGACACGGAGCGCACCATGCACCCCATCGCAGCCATCGCGCGCCGCGCTGCTGCCGAGGGCCGAGGCGCTGCTGGGCGGGTCGCAGCGGGAGGCGCTGTCATGGCTGGCGTGGGGCGCTGCAGCGTGGCCATGGGTGCCCAGCAAGACGGGTCGACGGCTACGGAGGGTGCTCGCCCGAGGAACGGTGCGCATTCCCTAGCTACGGATACCCCGCCCGCTGCTGGGCCCAGGAGCCGAGCAGCGCCCCATCTCGCAGGTGGCTGAGCTGCGACCAGCCTAGCTCGGCTGCGAGGCGGGCCCGCATCGCGAGCTCGCTACTCACGGCAGCCACCGCCACGCTCAGGACGGACCTCGGCGCCGAGCCCGACGCCGTCCCCGACGCCGAGGCCTGCGTCATCCCCGACGACGCGCTGGAGCGGTGGGGGCCTGTCGAGGATATGGGCCAGCCCGAGTCGGGCGAAGCCCGACGCCGTTTCCAACACCGAAGTCGACGCCATCCCCGACTTCGCGCTGGAGCAGTGGGAGCTTGCCGAAGAGCAGGGCCAACCCGAGACGGCCGAGGGCCCAGGCACCACAAGCGGGGCTACTCCTGGAGCTGCTGACCTGCGTCGCGACGCTGGCCGTGGCCCACGTGCGCGCGGGTCGGCGCGGCCGCCAGTGCAGCCGCCGCGGCCACCTCACCCGCCCCCGCTGCAGCCCGCCATGCCCTTCGGCGAGCTGGTGCGGCGGTTGGCGGGGCCGCCGCCAGCCTGCCGCGGGCAGCGCGGCTGAGGCGGCCAGGCCAAGTTGCCCAAGTGGCGGGCCGCTGGCCAGGCCGCAGGCCGTGGTGCCTTCCCACAGACCGAGGGTTTGCCCGCCACATCCCTGTGGGTGGGGGTCCTCGGTCTTGCGCCGTGCTGATGCGCGCCGCCTCGCCCGCGGACGGCCGCGGGCGGCTGAGCGCGGCGGGCGCGGGGGACCCGCTCGACCGCGTCTCGGTCTGCTCCACTCCACTCCACTCCACTCCACTCCACTCCGCTCCGCTCCACTCCACTCCACTCCACTCCACTCCACTCCACTCCACTCCACTCCACTCCACTCCACTCCACTCCACTCCACTCCACCACTCCACTCCTCCACTCCCCTCCACTCCACTCCACTCCACTCCACTCCACTCCACTCCACCACCACCACTCCACTCACTCCACTCCACTCCCTCCACTCCACTCCACTCCACTCCACTCCACTCCACTCCACTCCACTCCACTCCACTCCACTCCACTCCACTCCACTCCACTCCTCCTCCTCCTCTACTCCCTCCTCCCTCCTCCTCCTCCTCCTCCTCCTCCTCCTCCTCCTCCTCCTCCTTCCTCCGTTCCCCCTGGAGCCCTTGACCCCTTCCCCATCACAACTTTTCCACCCCCGAGCCGTTTTCGGAGGCCTTGCGGCTCGAGAGCTGCCCCCTGAAGCTAGAGGCCTCCTGGATGGGGTCCGAATGGATGGGGTCGGAGGATCGCGCCGCATCGCAGATGCTTCGGCGAGGCATCGACGATGCATCGGCGACGTCGGCGGCACATCGGCGACGCCGGCATGGAGAAACTCGGGCCCCGCATCGAACCGCATCCCCATCTAGGAGGCATGGAGAGGCTGACATCTGCCAAATCCGACCGCCGTGATATTTTCACTCTGCGGGGGATCTGGGTTCGGGGCGTCAAAAGTCCCCCCCCAGACCCATCCTGGGGTGCGTTCGGGCCAGAAGTTCGGGGGGAACCCAACCGCGGCGACGAGCAGCATCCGAGAGCTCCGACAAAAGGACCAACAGCGCACGGACGCCTCGTGCCTCGAGCCACGACCTTCGGACCTCGATCCTCGAGCCGCGATCCTCGAGGAGGTCCGGGCCGGCCGCCTGCATCCCCCCGGGCGTGGACGGCACGGCGCCGGGCGGGGCCGTCGCCCCGAAGCTGGCGAAGGCATCCCGGGGCGTGCCCGGCGCCGCCTGCTGCTGCGAGAGCGCATCGCGGGGGGTCCCCGGCGCCGACCTCGGCGGCGGCGATGACGGCGCGGCGACGGCGATGGCGCAGGCGACGTCGGAAACGGCGGTGGAGATGGCGGCGGCGATGGTGCAGTCACTTTCACTTGAAGAGAGAAGTCTTGGGGTGTTCTGGGCCATGGAAGCCTCCAGGGACGACGGCTGACAGTGGCGATATTGATGGCGATGATGCTGCTGATGCCGATGCCGATGCCGCTGCTGCTGCTGCTGCTGTTGCTGCTGCTGCTGATGATGATGATGATGATGATGATGATGATGATGATGGTGATGGTGATGGTGATGGTGATGGAGATGGTGATGATGCCGCTGATGAGGATGGAGATGATGCCGATGATTAGGATGATGTTGATGCTGATGGTGACGTTTGTTTGAGCAAGAAACCACTGTACCGATGACAATAACAAGGTGACACCCGATGAACGACCGTATCCCGTAACACGGGCGAGATCAGACAAACAAGAGACGAGCCGATGTGCGCAGCCACAATCTACTAGTTTGAATTGTGCGCGCCATAGAGGAGACGCCCGCTGAAATCACAAGAGGCGATTGGGTCAGAGTTGCACAACCGGCGCGCCAGACAAACTTTGTGATCGCCCCGAGAGGACGAAGGCGGCAGCAGCATCCCGCCTATGTACTTGTCCGAAATGGAAGGCGGGCGGTGCGTGCCACGGAAAGAGAAGCTCTCTCTCCGCAGAGAGCAGATAAGAGAGGCACGGCTGTCAGCTCAGAGACCGTAGCATCCAAACCATTGCGAGCCACCGCGCCCCCTAACACATCGGGATCTAAAAACAGGCAGCCACGGCGAAGGGCAACCCGAACACCGCCAACAGCAGCAGCAGCGAAGGCACAGCGGAGCAACAGCAGGAAGGACGCGGTGGAGAGGGCACACAGCAACAGCACCAACGATGTCAGCAGAAGCAGCAGAGAGGGCACGCGGGAAAAAAACGTGAGAGGGCAAACACAAAAACGCATGACCAACAAAGACACAAAGCGGAACGCTCGACCATGTCAGGACCTCGCGCTCGTAAGGTCAGCTGTGCCAGCTTTCAAGCAGGGTCCAGGGAACCAGGGGAGGCGAGCAGAGACAACAAGCAAGTTAGATAGATCGGCCGGTTTGCGGGCATGTTGAATGGCAGCTCGAATCGCGGGGTGGCGCTGCATCAGCAGCCTCAACTTGCCTTCAACGATGCGTTCAAATAACGCCCCGACGGAGCGGTCCGCAGCCGCAGCTGAAACTGGGCGTGAACAAAGCATTCGACCAATGTAGACAGGGCTACATCACGGTTAGTGTCGGGAGCCCGACGGTGGACTCAGCAGAGGGTAAGAGAAGTGGAAGCGAGGCCCAGAAGGAAGATGGGGCGGGCCCAAATCGAAAATGGACCAGCAAAGCGGGGACAATGCTGGTAGTGACGGTGATCGCTGGGGCACTCGCGACAACCAAAAAGACTGTGCGTAGGCCAAAATCAAAACCGAGCTGAAGCCCAGACCCCTTGGCATAGGGCCCTCAGGGCCGCAGCAGCTAAACATCGAAACGGCCCGACCGACGTTACACAGACGAGCCTGAAAAACTTGAAGCCAAACTGCAAGAGGAAGGGGGGGGAGCCAAGGCAACAATCTCCTGGGGGAGTTCGCCAGCCATCGCGCCAGACTGCTCCGCTTCTGTCATGGCACGAGTGAGCTGGGCTTGTGTCACAAACGCTTTGTCCTCGGGGCAAATCTGCGTGGCTTGTGGGGCGTATCCTGTAACGCCGCGCAAATGCTCGACACACAAAAATTCGCAAAGCAGTCAATTCCCCGGGATGCCCATGCGACTCCTGATTGTAAACGATCTGATTGCGCCTGACCAGAGCGCTGAACATATTCCAACGCGCACATGCGCGACTTCGCATAATTCCAGCACTAGCAAAACGGACCTCGGGCGTTCCAGGTGACGACAGATAGCGGCTACTTCGGGATGAGAGGGAAGAGCAGCGACGCCCCGCGCTCCCTTAGAAAGAGTTGCGCCTGCCGAAACCGGCCTGCACACAGAAGAAAGGTAGTGTCCTGTGTGAGCCACCCAGCCCCCGCAAGGGCAGACGCCGAATACGCCCGATCGTCAAAGGCCCAACTGGCCTATGACCGTGTCCACAATCATCGGCGGCTTGCCTCCTAGCCCGAGAGCTTCGAAGTGGCAGGCGAACGCGACGACGCGGGGCAATTCCTGAACAGAACTCGGTTTTGAAACGCGGAGTGGCTTAACGGCGCCGCCTGTCTCAGTATCTGCTGCAAAGATGATCCCATTGTCGACTGACGAATCGATGGGCCACTTCACGAGGGACGGGTTGCATGTGACTGTCGCGTCGCGCTCGTGATGAATCCTACCCATCACCGCCAACTGCTTGTTAGTCTCACCATCGCGAGGGGCTCAAGACGCAACGCGCGGGAACCCCTGGGGAAGGTGTACTCGAAGCCGTCAGGGTAGTTCTTCCTAAACGTATCGGCGGTGTCGGAAGGTGCATCTGCTGACGGGAACGCTCAGGTCACTTTCTTTGATGAGTTCTGGAGGTGACCTTCATCGCCGATTGCGCAGGCTCGGTAGCACAAGTGGAGAGAACTGCAACACCTGCTTCGAACAAAGAACCTGGCGAGGGAACTTATCATTGGAACCCACGAGGATAGCCTTCGACAACATATCGTGGAAACCGAGACGAGGACGAGGCATGGTTCTGGGTTTCTTAGCCGATCTGCCGTCACCGCCAGTCGTTGCTGTCGCCGGGCTTGCTTCAGGTCGCCAACGAACGGAGGGAAGCCAACTCTTTCTCCGTCTTAGCAATGTCTGCTTTTTGTAGTTCCAATCCAACCTGCAAGGCCTTGACGTGATATGCGAGCTCGGAGACCTGTGCAATAACTGATGTGGGGGAATCCTACATCTTCGCCGGCTGAGCCGCCGGCTGAGCCGCCGGCTTAGAGATCAACGCATCTGTGCCTTTGCGAGCCGTCGCGCCCCCGAGCGGATCGGGATCCGAACAGGTCGGAGAGGGAGGAGCACGCAAAGCTAGGGCAGCTGTGCCCAGGTGTCGAGCAGTCTCCTCAGCTGCGGGTAAGCTCGAAACATCCAGGATTCGCTTTCCGAGCTTGAGCCAACATGGCTTGAGCCAAAACAGATGCGGATGATGATGATGGTGGTGATGGTAATGATGCTGATAATTATGATGGTGGTGATGGTGGTGGTGGTGATGATGATCATGCTGCTACAAAGAATCCGCCGATCCACGATTGCTGGGGCTGAGAAGGCATTGTGTCCCCCTTCCCCTTCCCCCCTCCCCTGGGGTCCAACATTCAATTTAAAAGGGGGGTGCGTGGGAAGGGGAAAAGAGAGGGGGATGAACTCGCCAACGCACCACTGGAACTTCCGGAGCCTCCATAAAGCTCTCCAAGATGGCCCAAGAGGGCCCAGCCAGAGCGCTGAGACAGTCGAAGACAGCGTCGACCGACGCAGGGTTAGCCCCACGACAGTCCAAGATCGCTTTAGGATGGCCCACGACGCCCCCAAGATGGTCCAAGCGTGCTCCCACAGCACTGCTGGGATGGCCCCAAAAGGCAAACCTCGTCCAATTCTCGTTGTGAAACGCATGCTTTTGCCACGTTCGCCTTTTTCGCCTTGACTGCATCTACGACTACCCCAGACCCTCCGAGATCGTCCCGATGGCCAACGAGGCTCGCAAGAGTGCCCCAACAAATACCAAAGAGGGATCTCAGACGGCCCCAGGAGCCTCCAAGGCGGCACAAAGAAACATCAAGAGGGCCCCAAGATAGTAAAAGACGAGGAAAACGAATCGACATGTCGAGCCTTTCCCTCAAGATGGCTCCGCGAGCCCGTCAGAGGTCCCCGAGGTGCCCCCAAGAGGCCCCAAACGGCCTCCAAGACGTCCCCAAGAGGCCCCCAGGAGGCCCCCAAGAGGCTCCCCAAAGACTCCCAGATGCCCCCCTCTCAAGACCCGTCCAAGAGGCCCCTTAGAGGCATCCCCAAAGACCCTCATATTCATCCACGAGGCACCCGACCCACGCCCTCAAGACGCTCAAAAAGAGTCCCCGGAGAACTCCACAATGGCCCCTCCTTCAAACGTCCGTCTACTCTCATCCTTATTTCAATTCTTGCCCTGTCCTTCACCTCCTTGTCCTCCTCCTCCCTTCTCTACTCTTCATCCTCTTGCTTGTTGTCGTCTCCCATCTTCTGCCACCGATAACCCCCGACACCACCAGCACGCGCAACAGAGGGCCCCAACAAGCCCCATGATCATCACCATCACCATCATCATCATTACCACCATCATCATCACCATCACCATCATCATCGCCACCAACATCATCATGAAGATTATCATCATCACCACCATCATCACCATCACCATTACAATGCCCATCACCATTATCATCACCATCATCATCATAATCAACAACAACAACATCATCACCATCACCATCATCATCACCATCCTCATCATCATCAGCATCATCACCATCACTATCACCGCCATCGTCATCATCACCCTCCCCATCATCATCGTCGTCGTCATCATCGTCACCATCACCACCACCATCACCATTGTTTGAATGTTAGCCGGCGTGGGCCCCAAACAGTAGGTTCTTGCAACGTATGCGGTGCAGTCTATGCGGTGCACTCTATGTGGTGCAATATATGCGATGCAACCAATGTAATGCAATCGATGCTGTGCAACATATGTGGTGCAATGCATGCGATGCAACATATGCAATGCAAACGAGTTGACACATCCCGCGCTCTTGCAAACATCCCACCCACCCACCCGCAACTTGGTTTGCAAAACCCATAAGGTGGCGATTGCGATGCATGCTCGGCGTTGGCTGGTGCGTCTCTGCGGCCGCGCCAACCCAAGCACGCGCGCGCAGCGGCCAGCTGGTTTGGAGCGACCGACGCGGCCGCGATGGCGCTGATCGTTGGGCACATACCAGCGGGCACTTCAATGCGAG